CTCCATTCATTTAACAATTATATGTTAAACACCTTAACATTTACACATTATTTTATCAAAGACCTCACTCACAAATGTACCCACCCATTCATTTATTCATTGAACAAATATATATTAGGGCATCTTACCATGTGCTAGGCACAGTGCCAAGCCCTAGAAATAAAAATAAATAGATAAAAGAAAAAATGCAGTTTCTATCTCAGGTAACTTCCAGACTAGTGGGAAGGCAAGTGGGACAACAGTGGTTCCAGCTGTTATCCACAAGGACTATGCTAGAGGTATAATGGGATGCAGTGTGACAGAGTGTAGCAGAACAAATAACAACCTCAAATAACAGCCTTGGTGGCAGTTAGGACTTGGAAGAGGAAGCCTGCAAATAAGGGGTAATGCTTGGGGCAGACATCTGAAGGAGAAATAGAAATTTCTCCAGGCAAAGTTTGTGGGGAAGAACAATGTGCTACAGAAAGAGCAGTGTGTTCAAGGGCATGTAACCAAGTCTGAGAATTGTGTGTTTGCAGAATGGCACATGATCAACATGGCTGGAAACTAGGATACGGTGACAGGAGGTCATATATATGTATATGGTAAACAAGACCCAGATTATTGGCAGTCTTGAATATCCTGCAGAACATTTGGATGGTGTCTTCCAGTTCATGGGCAGTCATTGAATGATGTTATGCACAGGAGTAAAAATGATGGGGGTATGGGTTTAGAAAGCATACCAAGACAATATTATGGATGAAAAGGCAGGAATTATGAGTGGAAGTCCTGCAATAGGAGGTATAAGACAAAGCGGTCCTGATTTTAGTTTGGGGCAGTATAAATGGATGTTGAATGGACATAACTTGGTGACCACTTGGGGAGAGAGAAACTGAGGATGACCTCTTTGTTTCCAGCTCAGAAGATGTACAGACTGGTGTGGTTACCAAGATAAGGACTGCAGGAGCAGTATTTTGTTAAGAAAGAGAGAGAAGGAAGATGGATTTTGGTCTAGAAATCATTCCTCGTGCTTAGATCATACCTGGGGCATCCTTCTCTGTCTCACTAAATTTTCATTACCTGTTCCTGGAATGTTTCTGGAAATCTTGAGAATACATATTAGCTGCTAGTTGTTTGTATGTCTGTTTTATTTAGATGCTACCCTACTCATGACAGAATCTAAGTGCGATCTAAAGCAAAGCAAAGTTGTCAACAGAGTAGTTATGATTTACTTCCATTCTTAGTTTCTTTAAGCATGAATTCTGGATTGTAAGCCATGAGAAGCCACACATGTTTTTCCAACATAACAATTGTCAAATTTCCACGACAGATGCCAGATTACAATAGAAAAAGTTCATTTGGATATGTGCTCTTTCTCAGGGAGACAGAGGAGCCGCTGGACCAGTGGGAGAGCAAGGTATTAAGGGATGCGCTGGTGCCAGAGGTCCTAAGGTAAGGGTCACCTGAGACATTGTGAAGTCTTCCCAACATTAATTCCATTTCGTTGCACTAACTACTACTGTCATTTCTATTTTCAGGGAATCAGGGGACTAAATGGACAGGAGGTATGGCACCAAACATATCATTTATCCCCCCATCTGCTTTCTAGAGATATTTTTATTTTTGAGATTATTGGCCAGTAGATCACTTAAATGAAGTTTTTGTTGACCTATTTTTTATTGTCAAGAATTTTGTTTTGTTTATTCCTGTCTTTTATTGTAGGCAATGCATAGTATTTGTTGACACATTCTATTACTCAGTAATCTTTGCTATTACCCAGGGCCAGCCTAACAAAGAGGCTGTCTGTGGAACATAAAGTTAGACTTTTCTTTGATGTCTGACTTCTTTCCACGTAAATGTAATGCACTCTATCCTGATCACATCTGTCGTTTAGGGAGAAGGTGGAGAAAACGGAGTTGATGGATTAAATGGAATACAGGTAAAGCCTCCTCTTTGTGCCATAAAGACCTTTCTGAGCTGTTTCTCATGAAGAAAATGGGAACTTGAGTGTATTTTTCTGTTTCTTAGGGTGACAATGGTCTTCCTGGAAGAAAAGGAGAAAAGGGTGATGAAGGATCCCAGGTAGGGATTTAATAAATAGACAACATGAAAATTGTACTGGGAATTAAAGGTGATTAACAGAGTAGAAGAGCTATGCTAGGTGGATCAGCCAGCTGGTGCCACAAAATTGCTTTGTGACAAACAGTCATGAAACCTCAATCACGTGCAACAATAAATTTATTTCCTATGTGTCTGGGAGATTCAGCTGATCTAGGCTGAGCATGGCTAACCTTGGCTCATGTGTCTGTAGGCTGGCTGGGGGTTTTGTTCCCCATGTCTCTTATTCTTCTCCTGGGACCAGACAGCTCCCTGGCCATGTTGGCTATGACCTTAGCATGGCCATGGCAAGAGCACATGAGAGAAAGTAAAAACGCACAAGGTCTCTTCAAGACCTCCTGAGGCCTTGGCTTGGAATTCTCCCAGCGACATTTCTATTTCTTTCTGTTGGCCAAATCAAGTCACAGCCAAACTCAGGGGTAGAGAATCTTGGCCCACCACAGTTGGTAGGCACTACAGAGTTACATGGCAAAGAGCATAGATACAGAGAGGAGTGAAGAATTGGGGTCCATAAGAAAAAGCATGTTTTATAGCAATGGTATTGTTATTACTGTAATTTTCGTTTCAGTCATTATACTGAATTTTTTATGTTAAAAAAAGAAAGAAAGAAAAGCAGCTACCATATTAAGAACAGCCACAGGGTGTTGACAAGAGTCTGTGGTGCAGGGTAGCACAATGAAGGTATATGGCACATAGTCCCATCTAGAACCAGTACCAGCATCAGCCATATTGCCATCACCTACTTTATCTGACTTTGGAATGTGAAAAGGTGAGTCGAGAAGCCCACTTTCTAGCTGATGCAACCACCTTGGGGAAATGGATAATCTCCCTGATTCTCAGCTTCCTCATTAAAAGAAAGACAATAAACAATATCTGGTTTATAAAGCAGTTGTAAAAACTAGACGAGATGATAACTGTGTCTGGAACACAGAGTTCACCACTGTGGCAAATAATTGAGGTCACTCTTAAATTATTCACATGATGCCAGAAACTATTTTTTGGTTGTTGCTCTTTCCAGTTTAAAAGTAACTTTAGAGAAAAATATTTAATTATTCAATTCAGAGAGAAGATAAGCTCTCTGTTTGTTTTTATTGATGCTATTAAAAGTTCTTGTCTTTTCCTTCTTCTGATTTTTATTAACTTTAGGGAAGCCCAGGAAAGAAAGGGATTCCTGGTGACCATGGAGCAAAGGGGCTACGAGGAGACCCTGTAAGTGCTGGGGCTACGCGGCCTGTGAACTAACGTCAGGGTTTGGTTCCCATCAGCACGTCTGATAGGGAAAGACATCCCAATCTTAAGGTACTACAATAGCAAGCCTGAGTGTAAACATCACAAGCACAACTGTAGAATTTGAAAAGCAGATCCCTTCTGCTGGCTCTTCATCATAATGCGGGATGAGATGGACCATGAGAAGCCCTTGCGTATCGTTTGAGTAGGCATCACCTACACCAAAAAAGGCATGATGCACACCAACACAGGGAATACACCAAGCCCAAGGGAACATTAGTACTGTAGAGCTACTGTCACCATGCCCACACCTGAGGCAATCTCTAAAACCTTAATGAATTAGGACTTAGGTTTGTTTTTAAATGTTTATTACACTTTTTTTTATTGAGATGTAATTGACATATAACCTTGTGTAAGTTTAAAATATACAAGGTGTTGATTTCATACACATATATTGCTATATGATTACCACCAGAGCATGAGCTAACTCCTCTATCGTGGCACATAATTATCATTTCTGTGATGAGAACATTTAAGATTTAGTCTCTTAGCAACTTTGAAGAATATAATACAGTATTGTTGCCTAAATATAATCACTATGCTGTGCATTAGAGCTCCAGAACTTATTTTTGAACTGTAGCATATATCAGAAAAGTACACAGATTATGAATATACAGCTTGATGAATGTAAATACACCTGTGCACTCACCCACAAGTAAAGAAATAGAACATTAGACAACAACAGAGCATCCTCGGAAATGCCCCTCATGTCCACTCCAATCACTACCAGCCCTCCCTAAGTTAATCACTATCCTAGGGCCATAAATTAGTTTTACTTGTTCTTGAACTTTAAGTAAGTGAATTACTTATAACACACTCTTTTGTTTCTGGCTTCTTTTGCTCAAGTTTATGTTTCTAAGATTCATTTTGTATTGTGGATAATAATAGCTCATTCAATCTCTTTGCTGTATAGTATCCCATTGTGTAAACATACCGTGATTTATTTACCCATTCTGCCGTTGATAGATATTTGGGTTGTTCCCAGGTTTTGCTGTTATAAATAGTGCTGTTGTGAACATTCTTGTATGTGTCATTGGGTGCGCTTTCACACACATTTCTATTGGGTCTATACTTTAGGAGTAGAATGTCTGGATGGTAACTTGTACATTACTATTCAGCTTAAGTCTTTACAGCCAAATATTTTTCAGAAAAGTTTGTACTAATTTACATTCTCACCAGAAATATACCAGAGCAGTCTACTATATACCCATCAGAATGGCTAAAATTTATAAAAACTGATAATACCAAGTGTTGCTGAAGATTTGGTGCAACTGGAAATCTCATAGGACTTTGTCTTTAATAACCCCTCCTCTATGGATTGATAAGAGAAAGAATTTGGTATAATATGTATTGAAAAATGTAAATGTTAGGTATGCACTGAAGATAACTCTAAAAAGCAGAGGAATTTGCACTTGAAGAAAACATTATTTACTGAGTGACATCTGACAATAGTCTGGCAACCTAAGAGTTTTCAAATAGTTTCAAACTAATTAAAAACCAAAAACTATCCACAAATAAGGGTAATTAAGAAATAATAGTTCAATTATCACTGTTGCTTTCTGGAAAGGGGGAGATATATATTAGACACTTCTTTCACAGAAATTTCTAGAGAGAGGCTATTATGTTATCTGATACTTAACAATAAATTCTTAAACTCAAAAAAAAAAGAAATAATAGTTCAAATACAAAGACATTTCAGTCATCTATATGATGGCTAAAAATCCAGTTGGGGTATTGCTATAAAATTAACATTTACCTTGATCAAAATTTCCCCTAATTGTCTGCTAACTTGTCTGTATGGTTATGTAACACCTTTGAAGAATCTGAATAATATAAAAGAATTTTTATTGAAAAAGAAATGTTCTGTGACTTCTGGATGGCTGAAAATTCAGCCCACTAGAGCTTGTCTATGATGTGCCGTTTGTTAGTATGATAACTTTAAATGGTTTTTCAATGCATAATAATCCTTCCCAGCCACTTGGGAAGATGCAGCTCAAATTGAAGACAACTCTACTTTTTTACATGGGCTTCTTTTTGTGTGTGTTACTATTTCAGGAAAAATTTGGTAGAGCAAGATTGATAGAACAAATAGAACACAAATATGATCTTATTATTCATAGGAATGCATGCAAATGGCACAAATTTCTGAAAATCTTTGCTTTTTCAGAGAGAACTTCCAATTGCATGAAAGCTATTTTGCCTCTTGGGAATTTCCCATTTTGATGTAAATATTTTTTTTTAAAATCTCATGTAATTTGAGGGGAAACGGAACTAGATCATTTGTCTGACCTACACAGTTCATCATTCTAAAATATATCATTATTAGAAGCCCATGTTTAATCATAAATTTGTGTTTGATGATGGTCATTTGTCTGGTTGCATAGAAATGGAAAGACTAGACCAGATCGTATTCAGACTGACAAACAATTGGTCCCCATGCAAATTGGGATGTTCTATTCTGTAGAATGTGCTGGGATATGATTTTTTTTTATGTCATCTCATCAACCAAATAATTGAAAGTTGGACCACAATAAGAAGTTTATACATCCAGCAGAATAAAATTTTGGATTTTACATCATCTTTCTTTTCCTTACACACCTTTCTCGCCAAAATATAATTCCGTAATATTGTAATTTAGGTATACCCTGCTTGAAGAACTTAACAGACAAATATTTAAACATAAGAGTGAAACAGAAAATGTAGAAACTAATCTTTGGCTTCAATATATGGGAGAAATGATTTTTCATGTAAGTTTTAATAATATCAGTTATAAAGTAAGCCCATCTTTTTTCACTCAGCCTAGAAGCTCTGTAAGTTTAGAAACTACTTGATTGAAAAGCTTACTAAGTATCTGGAACAATGACATGTTCCTCTTGGTGATCACAAATTACATATTGATTGATGAAGGCAATCTGGGCTGCTGTCAGCCAAACAGCCCAGCAGCTGGCACGCAGCAGGACTGGCTAATTATTGTCCCCTCTCAATTTATTGGAGCATTGACTCAATTGACTGGCTCCATTGATTGTCCCAGCATCATGACGACACTGCTCTGTTTGTGGTCCTAACTATCCAAGATAGAAAGCTTTCAGTTCAGCTTGCTAAGAACAATATCCCACAATGTGTGTCTGTTTTCAATGAGCTCCTGCTGGAACGTTTGTATGAATGTTGGGAAAAACTCAAGATTCCAGGATTTACTGAAATCCAGAAAAGTAGGGGGAAGCATATGTAGGAAGAAGGCAACCAGGCATCCAAGAGGAAAAAGAGGGAATGGGTGGCAGACACAGTCCTCAGCACTGCTCAGTCTCCTTATGTTCTTGTGCTAGAACCCATTACAAACATTTGCCTTTTCCCAAGGGTAGGGAGAGTGTAAAAACTACCCACCATCAAGTATGAACTTGCCTGAGCCCCAAGAAAGAAGAGCAAAAGTTAAGAGAAAGGATGGCCGTAGCAAGAAGCAGTACTTCCAGAGCCGGGATAAGAGTTGTCATAAATACAAGTCATGTCACACTTGCTCCCCTCGGTATGCCTTCTATGGTGAGGTCTAGATTACCCACACACACACATGCATGCACACGGACACACACACACAAATGCACACGCACACAGACATATACCTTGGATTCTCAGTCCCTTCTGATAATACAAAACACAAGAGGAAAAGAAAACACTTATAAGCCATTTATACAGTCTTAACTTAGTTCTGCTTTCAATTGGGTTGGACTTCTCTTGTCAACTTTTTTGGGAGTGACTAAATGTGTTGTACACAAGTCACATTTTTAAGGAGAAATGTTCTTTAAAATGAAAAACTATTTTTCTTTTTATTTTCTATTTTTAGGGAGTTCCTGGATTTGACAATACCATTGAGGGACCCAAGGGCTTGAAAGGAGAACCTGGAAGACAAGTAATTATATGGGCATTTGAATGTAAACTTGTAATGATATGACGACTGTGAGGCTCAAGTTCTCAGTGATAGACTATGAAATGCATATAAAGAATTTGGAATCAGAGTGGGTATACTTCATACAGAAAAACTATTTTTAGGTGCAAAAAGACCTTTTACTCCTCCTTTTCTGCTACTCTGGCTTCAAGAAACATTCTCTTCTGAATTTGGGGTGACTTGCTTCACTAAGCCCTACCCTTGAGGTAGTCATCTATGAATGCAAACATCTAAACTCTAACTTAAAATGTAGGGTTCACTGATAGAACTAGCAAAAGAGCCTTCCTAGGATCCAGAGAACACATACCCTTAAAAGGCGTTATATTATTGTTTATAATACATGAAAAAAAATAAACAAGATCTGGTAGGTCTATACAACCCACACTCTCAAGGCAAGTCTGGGATTCATCTCATGAAATTTCACAAGTTACAATTTGATGATCTTGTTTTCAGAATTTTGAAAGATTATTATCTGAAGAATGTGTGTCTTTGGGTCTTCTTGATGAGGACGTTCCTTTGGGGACTCCACCTGGGGGACAGGTCTGATATGGTAGAAAGAACCTTGCTTGGGGGACAGGCCTAGGTCCTGTCTCATGCTCTGTCCCTTATTGTTTCTGTGGCCTTGGGCTACTCTCTGTAAACCTCGATTTTCTCATCTGCAAAACATGACAAATAGCCTACTTTTGAAGGTTGTGGTGGGAATTCAATGACTGGGACTGCCACATCATAAACCTTCAGGAAATGGTAAATGTAAGTCTCATTATAGACTCATTATTATTTCCTCCTTTTCTATCCTGGGAAGATGTATGAGTATTGTGAGGTTTTATTCACATTAGGGTGTTAATCTACCCGGGCTAGCCAAACAGAGCAAGAAGTCTGAAGGTAGAAATCTTAACCAGCACTAGCTACACTGGATACATGGCATGCTTCTGTTATCCACTCTGTGGCACTACAGTGGGGATAGTTTGATTTAAATACTCTAACTTCAACCCCAAACACAAGACAGACAGTGGTAATGACTATGTCATTAGCATTTTGTCCCATAGTTCCTCGTCATCCATGTAGAGATGTGATTTATGACCAGTAAATGCCACATTCCAAAGTACCCTCTAGTTGGTGGAACTCCCTGGAGCGAATGAGCTGATATTGAAGAAGAAATGTGTTGATGTTGTGTAATTACCGTCACATCTGTTTTTTCATTTGACAGGGTAGAAGAGGCTGGCCAGGCCCCCCTGGAACACCAGGCTCCAGAAGACACACAGTAAGAGCTCTTCTAGACAAGGAGACCCACTGCTCCAGAAGCCTGTATTGTGATGAAAATGGCTGATTGTGGACATGAGTGGGATAGCTCTACTGGGGCTCAGTACCTGGGAGAAAGTAACCTAGGATGTCTCGGAGAATAGAGTTGGCAAAAGACTGGGGAAAGCCCCTGAAATGGAGCTCAGGCTGGAAGGCACGAGCTGCAGGGGAAATTCCTAACCAGGAGAAAGGGCTGGGCAAAGAGAACAAAAATGCAGCCAACTCGGGGAAGACCGGGCAGTGTCTGGCCTACTCACTAAGCTAGCTGAGGTTGCCAGTGATGTTATAAGACCCAAACTCCATTCCTCTGCCAAATTTTATGACTCTATACTTAGGAAAGTGAGTCCTGGTGTGAGTCCTCTCTCTGCTCTGACTTCCATTTTTCTCACCTTTCAAAGGAGAGGAGTGTGCTCCAAGAAACAAAAATATTTTCTCGATGGGGTATAAGAGCTGGTTCTATGAACTTCTTAGAAAATGTGGTGCATGATAAATGCAATATATTAAACTAGTTTTTATTTGTGCTCAATTAAAACACATTGTATGTATTTTACTGAGATATAATTGACATACAATATTGTGTTAATTCTAGGTGTTCAATATAATGATTGGGTATGTGTATGTGTTATAAAATGATCACCACAATAAATCTAATTAACGCCCATCACCACATATAGTTACATTTTTTTCTTGTGATTACAACTTTTAAGATTTACTCTTTTAACAACTTTCAAATATACAATACAATATTATTAACTATAGTCACCATGCTGCATATTACATCCCATGACTTATTTATTTTATACCTGGAAATTTGAACCTTTTGAACCCCTTCACCCATTTCACCTACCCTCTACCCCCCACCTCCCCCCCACCTCTGGCAACCACCAATCTGTTCTCTGTATCTATGAGTTCATTTTTTTTTTCAATATTCAACATATAAGTGAGATCATATGGTATTTGCCTTTCTCTGACTTATCTCACTTAGCATAACACCCTCAAGGTCCATCCATGTTGTTGCAGATGGCAAGATGTATCTTTTTATGGCTGAAAAATATTAAATTGTATATATACCACATTATTTTATCCATTCATTCATCAGTGGACACTTAGGTTGCTTCCACATCTTGGCTGTTGCTGCAATAAACATGGCAGTGCATTTATCTGTTTGAGTTAGTGTTTTTGTTTCCTCTGGATAAGTACCCAAAAGTAAAATTTTTAGATCATATGGTAGTTTCATGTCAAGGCATAAAAATATATATCTGAGAGTAAAGTTAGGTCACTTGCTTATGGAACCTTTTGGAGTCTTTTTTATTTGTTTTGTTAATTTTTCAATAAGTAATATTTAAAAAATAATTCTGTTCTTGACTTCTTGGAAGAACACAAATATTATAAAAGAAAATCTTTATCAAACAAAAAGATAACTTTTTATAAGATATATTTAAATGACAGCATTGAGTTTTACATTAGACCTGTCTCTTCTCATTGTGCAACATTTTCTTTCCATTCTTTATTTATCTAACCTTCTCCAACTTCCTATATTCCCCACCCCCAAAATATATAATGTTTTTAAATTGTGCACAAATAAAAACTAGTTTAATGTATTGCATTTATTATGCATTGTATTTTATGAGCAGTTCATAGAACCAGCTGTTATACTCCATCTAGAAAATACTTTTGTATCTTGAAACACACTCCTTCTTTGCAAAGCAGAGAAAATAGAAATAAAAACAGAAATTATGTTTAAAATGTGCAGAGTTTAATTGCTGGGAAAGTGCTTTGCTACTGCTGTTTTTAATGCGTCTAAAGATAAAGAAGTACATTTGCTATTCATTTCACCTTCTAAAAGGTGAAATGGTATAGCCAGCTTACCATACCATGGGAAAATATTTTGAACTTAAAAATATCATCCAAGAAACCCTGGCATGGGAGAGGTACTTTTATTATTTTATAGAGGCTATGGTCTCTCTAGAGGCTAATGTAGAATCACCATGTATTATTTAAACCACACAACTCCTGAGATATATGGCCCCATCTTGGGTTATAGATTCAGTGGTGTCATTCAGGAGTAAAAGTAGGACTTTCAGCTAAAGATGGCAAAGTCAAGGTGTTTTCTATACTGTTCCCTGTTTGTGCAACTCGCCAAAACCAAGAGAAATATAAAATAGTTTACCAAAGAATGACCACAATGTCATGCCACACATGACAAATATTGGCCAACTGCTTTAAAATCTGGATTCTAATGAGGCAGGCTTTGGAGAGCTGACACATGCCACCTCAGTCCTTAAGCTGGGGGTCAGATTTTAAAAAAGTAACTGCCATAGGCCTAAAACACTGGTGAACATCCAGGGGTGCTAGATTTTCAGAATATCAGGGACTATACCAATAGAAACACAGTTTAGCCGAGGAAGCAGGACTCATGAGAAACTGAAGAATATTCCATTTTTAATATCTACAACTTAGCGAACTAGGCCACAGAGGCTGCAAAGACAGAAGAAATGGTGAGTATTACAACACAGAGAAACTGTGACTTGAGAGGCTTTGGGTGCATTCTCTCAGGCTCTTAAATGCCAACATTTGAAGGGAGAGGCAGCCATACGGTAAAAGAAATAGTTCATGATGAAACAATGTTTAAGACAACATATCCATATCGAAGCTACTAACCCAAGTCCAGCTATGCCCCGTTTCAACTATTCAGTAAATAGGTGGCCCTATCAAAGGTGAATAATAATAAAAAATGTTTAATCTTCATTATTAATCAGATGATTACTAATGTTGCATAGAAATTGCAAGGACAGAAGGGGAAAACTACATGAGCACAGGGTAGTTAGACCCTCATTAGAAGAGAAACTACTTAAGGAAAAGGTAAAATAGCTCTGGCAAATAGTTCTCCAAAGTCTTAAAAAAAAAATTAAGACCACTTGATTGCTCTAAAAGGAGTCTAAAAAACTGACAAGACAATAGAAAGTGAAGAAAGCAAGCTCATAGGGCTTGAGGAGCAATGGGAAAGGGGAAGAAAATGTAGCATGTAAGATATATTAGAAGCAACAAAAAAAAATGGGATAAATATCACTGAGAAATATAGTCAGGCATATGGTAATCACGAAGCCACAAAAGCAGTAATAGAGATAGAATATTGACAGTGCAGAGAGCCAACTCATGGTACAATTTGCATAACAGAGTCCTCAGTGCTCGCTATCTACCTACATCTTAGAGTTTTTCAGTCAGTGGTATAGATTTTTCTTCTTTCTAAAAGGTTAATGAGTTTAGTGTTATTGCAAAATGATGCATGCTGATTTTTAAATATTCAAATGCAGAAAATAAGGCAGAATAAAAAATTTAAGTCATCTGACACCCTCCATCTAAAAATAACTGTCGTTAACATTTGGTAATCATTATTCCTGGCACCTTTTTTATGCATGTTTACAGCTGCAGTTGTCAATAGTGGTGCTTTTGATTAAAAAAAGATCATGCTATTCTCAAATTAAAATACTGCGTGTAATTTTACTTGAATTTAATAGAAGAAAAAAATAAAACTGAAAAATTATAAATGTCAGGTGGTAGCATTCCTTGACAAAAATAGGCATACACTCCTCAAAGAAGAAAGAATGATTATGAAAAAATTGGGAGGTTAAGATATGTTTGGAATACATGTTTTAGCTTAAAATGGTGTTTAGACCCTGACTCTCTACAGTGAAAGATGAGGATATAGTATAATCGACACTTTCCCCACACCTTTTCCAGCTTTCCTGTTTTCATATGATTTTTAAATTGTTAAATAGATAACATTTATATTTTGTTCTGTAATCACAATTTCTATGGCTCAGCCTTATTTCTACACTTCAAAGGATTTAAACTAATATTATAAAATTTGAAAGAAAGGATCATGGGGCTATATTGTCTGAATTTTTGAAGGCTTGATCATGTTGATTACTTATATGCTTACAGGTCAGCTTGGGTGGGTATGAAAATCTCTTCCTTCCTCCAGGAAGATTTTCCTGATTTGACCCATTGGAAATTAGTGCTTTCTAACTGAGCACAGGTCTTTCTTCTTCAAAACCCGTATTTCTGTCCTTCACCTTTCCTGTGGCATTTGCCATACTCTGCCTTGTAAATGTTTGTAATATGTATCTCCTCCCCTCCAAACCACAAGAGTGAGGGTTCCCTGACATCAACGACTCTGTGTGCGCATACGTGTGTGTGTCATCTTTATGCCACTATGGTTCTCATCTAATGTGCTTTGTGGGTAGTAGATCATGGTAGATATTTTTCTGAATGAAACTGAAGTGAACTGATTCAGAACAGAACAACCCTTGTGCTAAATGAGTAGAAAGAGTTTCTTTTCCTGTCTCCGATAGAGAAGATTTGGACTTGCATCTCAAGATGATGGCGTTGAAGTTTTAAATAGTCCTCCAGCCATTTCCTCAGATGCACAGTCTGTTTCCTAGATAATAATAACTTTTGACTGAAATGTAATTAGCAGAATTTAAAGTCTGAAGTACTGGCCTCTCATAGAATTTTGACCTGAATATCTCAAATAAATGTCCATCAAGAAAATGTAGTCTGATATTTGTTGAATTTGCAAATCCTGGATGTCAATATTGCTATTACATTACTGAGAGATCCTAAGTTAGACAATAAAATGTCTTTGCCTCTTGATTTCCAGATCTATAAAATATTTATCTGGAATATACCCAGACCCTAATCTTACATATGCAAGTAGTAGGAAAAATCCACTTAATTGTTGGTGCCATTGTTTTGACTGGATATTTTATTAACATGCTGAATGGAATAACTTTTGAATGCTTGGGACAATTCTTTCATTTTTTTTGACAGATATTTGGCTTTGGCGGGAGGGGTGAGATAAAATTAGTTTGGCTACCTTGAGCTTCTGAAATTAATCTCTAATAAAGCTCATGAAATCAATTTTCCCAGTTATTCCTCTGGCTTCCTGCCTGTTGGTCACGCTACTCCTGATTTCTGGCTTACATGGTAGTACTGTAGAAAAATGAAAAGAAATGATATTCAAATCAGCCAATTGTGGAGCTTGTGTGAACCGCTCTAGTACCAGTTTAGTGGAGGATAAATTACTGACCACAACCTGTTCTCGTAAGTATCTATAGATTTCAATTGTCTGTGATTTTAATTACCTATTGCCTTAGGATAGAAGTTTAGAGTTGGCAACATTTTGCTTTCATGGTGCAGCGGGTAATTAAATGTTTTAAACAACACGTGGGAACTTTTTTTTTTAATGTCAGTGCCTTAAGGTGACCAATAATAATTTAATTATAAAAAGCATTTTTTTCCCCAGAGTTAATCATATATACCTTTTCCTCCTATTTTAGGCAGTTCATGGCCGAAGGGGACATACAGGCCCAGAGGTACAATGATTTTTTTTCTTAACTCCAAATAATAAATATTCTGTGTCCAATCAAAGAAGTGGAATAAAGACTCTGAAAAGTCTTTCCCAGGCCTGAAGTTCTTTCCTTTTTGGTGATATTGGTAGTGGAATGAAATGTTAGAAAACTTTTAGGCTACGATTTCAAGAACGCAAATCTTAAAATGAAAATTTGGGCACTTTAATCAAAACCATAAAAAATAACAATGAGACATTACTTGACCCAATTATTGTTAAATGGAACTTTGGATTTTACATACAAACTCTAGTAACTAAGTGGGTGACTTTTCTTTTAGATTTTTGCTGTAAACTTTATTTACAATTTACATAAACACCTTTTAAACCAAGGTAGTACAATAAAAACCCTAATATAAATGGGATATTCTGAATATTTTGTTCAAAAATGGACTATAGCAAATATCACATCTCCTTTGTATGTCTTGGTGATACATTATACATGCTCATGAACCTACAATATTTATGAAAGAGTAGTTGTCAAAACTGAAGAAACACACATCCTCAGACTGAAAATACAATGAGAATAAAGAATAAATCCACTCTCAATCACATCATAGTGAAATTCCAGAATGTTGAGGAAAACATCCTAAGCACTACCAGAGGAAAAAAACAGTTTTACCCATGAGAGGAATAACAAATTAGATTGCAGCATACTTCTGTTTAATACTAATACATGCCAGAAAACAACAAATTAATATTATGCGGGTACAGAAGGAAAATAGCTGTTACCCTAGAATTTTGTAAGTAGCAAAACTATGAGTGAGTAAAATAGACATTTTCAAATAGACAAAGACTAAGAGTTTACCATCCACAGACATTACCCCATACACACACACTTCAAGGTTAGAATTCGACAAAAAGAAAAAAAGCAAATCCAGAAAAAGGGCAAGAAATAAATGAAATGAGATTGGGGAGAGAAAGTGTTGAGACATTTCCTCTCTGATTTCTAGGAAAAGGCATCAGTAAGGAACATTTAATCATATCCAACTGTGTAACAGCTGAGACAAATTTGAGTTATCTTAGTAGTTGCATAAATTAAACTTTCTTAATTCTTTCTTACTCTTCTTGGAATTCTTATCTGTAGCAGAGTTCAAGAGCAATGTGAAGAGATTGCTCAGCTATTGATCCCTAGTATTCAGTCTATTTGAATACAAATATAATGTAAGATGCTTAGAGATTTTTGAAGAAAATGTGAAGTAAAAGTGAGATTTTTCAAGCCAAATGCCCAAGTTGGATATACTATATTACAAGTGTTATAAGAGACAAAGGGAGTGAGTATGTGTGAGTGTGTGTGTGTGTGTGTGTGTGTGTGAGTGTGTATGTGCATGTGCACATATACAGATAGATAGATAGATAGATAGATAGATAGATAGATAGATAGATAGATAGGTAGGTAAAGACTGAAAGAAAATATACAAACATATTAGTTATGGTTGCTTTTGCTAGATGAGATTATAGAACATTTTTATTTCCTTCTTTGTATTTTCCTTTATTTTTTATGTTTTTTGCAAAGATCCTGCACTGCCATTGTGATTGAAAAAATGTTTATAATCTTGCACATGAAGGATACAAAATTCTCAGGAAACAGTGTTAACAGGTTGATTCTCTGTCACCACAGGGGATAGCAGGCATCCCAGGCCCGGATGGACTTGAAGGCTCACTGGGACTTAAGGGTCCTCAGGTACATGTTAAGACTAATCATGATGTGAGAATTAAAGAATCTGAAGCCTAGAGTCCCTCTACCCCTCTCCTGGTAGAATTACTGTTGTTTAAAGTGTTTTCAGGGTAACAAAGTAAGGAAGCAGCACAATCTTGACCAGCATTTGTTTGCCTTTATGTCAGTTTTGTCCTAGTCAGGAAGTGAAAAGACAATGAACACACTGGGCAGTGGTCGCTGTGGGATGGATTCAGGCTAGCTAGGGGATTCTCCCGGGACCTTGAGCGGAGGAAAATGGTGAGCCTCAAAACTGGGAATTTTGGTCAAGTTAGCGTAGTGAACACTCAGTCTTACATGATGTAGAAAAATTGGCTGCACTCTAGGAAACGATTATTCCAAATTCAGCTGAAGTCATCAGCGGGGCGATCTGCAGTGTGACCTTTAGCCTGTGCTTTCTATCTTACTTCTCCTGGGAGCTACCTCCAGCGCTTTTTCCTTTACAAGGAACAAGCCATGGGTGACTCTCACACTGATCACATGAGGGGAAAGGAAGCATGTGCCAGAAAGGGCAAAATGTAGCCTAAAATAATATCAAGAAGAGAAAGGAAGTCCTAGAAAAGGCTGAGATGAAAGAAAGTCAGAACACAGAACATTGGAGCATATTGTTTTTCTCTCCAAGCTTTTGGTTTTGAAATCTTGAGAAATAATTTTACTGTTTGGCAAATGCAGGCCAAGCAATGGTTCTGCAATTTTTTAAAGTTCTAATCCACATAGTTAAACAACAACAACAACAACACTAAAGTAACTATTATATGTTGGCAGCTTGGTGCATGGAAGTTGGGCAAAATATCCTTAGACATCAAAAGAGAAGCTTTGTTCACGTTTTACCAAGATTTCAGAGCAGTAAACAGTCTGCCCCTTGTACCTCTATCTCTTTCTGGCTTGATTGATTTTCTTTGTCTTACTTGCCAGCTGAGGAAAGTTCATTTTTCTCACCTTCAAGTGAGACATATTTACCACTGGGGTCGTGGGGAAGCATTTCTATGGATTGGCAGGCTTTATTTTGTGCTAAACAAGCAATACAGCTAGAACATCCCTTCTTCCATTTTATAGACTCTTTCTTTTGTCACAAAATAATTTAAAAGGAGCTGCAAAAACCAAACACAGCATGAAGGTTTCTCTGTGTATCATATGGCAGCCACAGTTCGTAGGCAATATAATGTTTCAGAAGTAAACATATCCAAATTTCATCTTACTATGTGCCCTATCTTAGTGATATGACCAGTCTTCCGTGTGGTTATTGAATAGAAAGTCCATTTAAACATTCCAGTTTCAGACTTATATAACTAAGGATTATTTTCTTTTAGCATGAGAATTATATGCATTGAGAGGATAAACATGCTTAGGATAATTGGCAAACAATACCGAAAAACTCTCCTGTCCTGTATTTCTTCATTTTGACTGCAAATGCCCAACTGCCTAAATGTCAGATTAGATCCTTTTCTCCCCACACAGAGGGAGAGCTCGACAGATCAAGACAGAACCAAAGGCATGAGTGGAATTCTCTTTCCTGTTTCCATTCATGTTACTGACTTAACATTTCCATTTTAATATTCCGGTGTTCTATTTTAGGGAAAAAATAATGCTTAAATTCTCTGTACATAGGGCCCAAGAGGAGAGACTGGTGTGAAAGGAGAAAATGGAGGCCTGGGAAGTAGAGGTCCCCAGGTATGTAATGAGAGAAAGTGACTGCACGTGGCTTTGATCTTGGCTGTAATATGGATGTCCTTGTGATTTCTTCCCTGCAGACAGATTATTTACTGCCCATGAACCAACAAAGTATGTTAGCTTTGACTTCATTGCTCGATATGGCCACATTATATCCTGACCCCTACCTTGCTGAGCAGGCTGTCATTCTGTCTAGACCTTTTTACCTCGGCAGCTCAGCCAATACTGCGAGGTTAAGGATTCTGCCTCTGTGTAAATCAGGTGACGTCATGCCCCTGATCTCCGTGTTCAGGAGCTTCCCATGCACCCGGAACGCAACCTTCTCTACTGGCCCTCAGCCTAGTGACGCGTGAGAATCACCTGGGCAGACTATAAAACACTCCACCACTTGGGACCCTCTCCAGACACTGAAATCAGAATCTCTGGAGGTGAGGCCAGGGTAACAGTGACTTTAAATTCTCCCCAAGTGATTCTAATATACACACTCAATGTTGGGAATGACTGTCCCACACCAGCACTATCCAACATCAAAATGTTTAAGAATTACCTACAGAACTTGTTAAAATACAGATACTGATTCAGTAGGTCTGGGATGGGCCTGAGATTCTACACTGAATGTCGGTGAGTTCCCAGGACAGGCTAATACTGCTGGTCCCCTGACCATATTTTGAGTAGCAAGGCCCTACGTAATTTGACCCTTGCCTACCTGCATTCACAGTATATATTTATTTGTTTAACTGTATTTGTCTCTTCTTCTAGATTGTAAGCTCTGTGGGGGCGAGGAATTTGTCTTGCTTATACTATATCCAAGATCCCAGAACAACCGTGCTGCTATTCTTTAGAGCTCAATGCATATTTGTACAATGAATTAATCAGTCAATGAATGAACGAGACATAGTTGGGACTTGCGCTCTCGGCTAACGTGAGGATAAAGGGAATCCATTACTTTGTGCCCGTTAGTTAAACTGGGCAATGGTCCAACACTTAAGTGGATGTGTTCACCATCAAAATATTTAAGAAGCTATTTGCATAAATTTGTATCTCATGCTACAATATTTTAAAGCTGATTAATTACTGCTCATGAGAGTATTTGTTCCCATTTTTGATGAATATGCTCTTTCAAAAAATGACAATTTTAAAATTTCCTGGTAGGACTAAACTGATGAAAAGTAACTATTTTGCATTCACATCCTTGAATCATTAAAAGGGCACCACAAATGGGATTAAAAAAAAAAGGTGAATGCCAAGGGAAACATATATCTGGTGGTTATCTCATCTGTTTATATAAAGTATTGCAATGGAGATGGGTTGAAATTCAAAGAGCTTGGTAATTCTCTTGCTCTAGAATCCAAAGTTGTATCCAAAAGGCAGTTACTCCAATGAGTTATTCCACTTGCCTTGTAGTGTACTCCTGAGTGGGTCCCCTTTAATCTTGCTTTGGCAAGATTGGTCATAGTCATAAATCATTTACCCTCTTGGCATTGCTAGAGCTAGTCAAAAGCACAACTTCTCCCTAGTCTAGCTCTTTCCATGTGCCTGGCAGCAGAGCACAGGTTTTTTTCCTTGCTTGCTTTTCTTTAAATACCCTTGTCAACACAGTGAAAGTGCTATTTCTAAGATGTGTAGAATTTTCTATGTTCAGGACATGATGAATGAGATCTCAAAATTGTTTCCAAAGGAAAACCACAGAGAGAAACACAATCAGATAAACAAGAAGGTGTTATTTGTTACTGGGTCTACATTCACGGACATAAGCTTCATATTCTTTTACACAAGGACCAGCCACGCGGGTGGAATGACATGAGTGTTTTCTAATTGCAGGCTTGAAGATTGTTCTTAGGATATACATTTAGAAAAAGGGATGTGAATTCAGCTGGCAGTGTTCTGGGGAACGTATTAATTTATGCAACGTTGGGGCATCCTGCATAAATCAAACATACTCATCCAGCCAAGGATATGGCTATGATATAAAAGAAATACAGTCCATGGCACAATGGAAAAGAAAGAACTTTGAAAGTCATAGCATGTTCTTTTGTACCTTCTTCCTACATTCCTTTCTTGTTTGGTTTACCTTAAGGTCCCACAGGAAAGTAACCCAAGGCCTAGAAAAGGAATGGAAAATCAGACACAAAATATTAATTCCAATTAGAGCTGGAATGATTCTTTAAATAGGGTGTTTAGTGACATAATCACTAGTATCATATGCAATATCAAGGAAGGTTGAAATTATTCAGTGCAAATTTGGGATACAAAGTAGAATTTCAGCTTTACAAAGCATAGCGGTCAAGGGCACAGAGCCTGGAGCCAGGCTGCCTGGGTTTGGGTGCCAGCTTTGTACCTGCCTAGCTGTGTGGCCTTGGGTAATTTATTTAACCTGCTATAAAATGAGAATAGTAATAGTAGCTGCCTCGTTGGATTGTTGTGAAAATTAGGTGGTTTAATATAGGTACTTAGAACAGTGCCTACAATATAGTAAGCACTATATAAATGTTTATTACTACTATATTGTGTTGATGTTACCTAATATAACAGGGGTATTTTATTCCCAAAGCATGCTCATAACCAGTCCAAGGAAAACCAGAATAATAATAGCAATATAACAATGTGTGACCTATATTGCAATCTTTGGATTTCATCATTCTGTATAGTCTAGACTAGATGATGCATCACTCATTCCTTTTACTCATTTGACAAACATTTACTGAGCACTTCCTGTGTGTCAAGCCCTGTAGGAGGAGAAAAGGATGAATCAGACACAGGCCCTAGACTCAAGTGCTCCCAGTCTCGTAAAGGAGATTCATGCAGACAGATAATTGAGATGTGATGTGCGAAATGTTAAATAGAATTATACCCAAGGTAGCGTGATGAGAGAAAGGGTGGAGTTAAAGGAGGAGAAAAGTGGCTTAGATTTTGCAGGATAAAGAGGCGTTTGCCAGGTGACCAAAGGAGAGAGGCAGGCATCCAGGAAAAGGAACCAGGTTATATGAAAAGAGATATCAAGGTGAGTTCGGAGAACCATAAATGGTTCAGTGTGAATGGAGTGTAGGATAGAATAGCACCGTCAAAATCAACATCTTCCCTTGGAGTCTTGGGAGTTGTTTCTGCATTAGCCCACACCTTGCTGGCTTCTTGATTTTTTTTTTTTCTCTCGGATATCACTCATATCTGACTCTTACAGAAGCTGAACATTGAATCTCCTTGGATTGTATCATCTCAGCCTAATATTTGCTGGTTGTGAGTGTAGGCAAGGAATTACCCCCACGAGTATAATATGTGACAGGATTCCTTTTAAAGGTGAGAAGAACCCACACTTCTTGCCCCTGCCCTGCCGTATCCCATCCCCAAGAGAGGCGTCCTTGGCAATGCCCCAGCCATTAATTCTAAACCCTTAGTACAATCCCTTCTGATAAGATGCTACTAAGGATGATTTTAAAAAACATTTAGGTTCTTAACATCTCCATTCTAACACTAAAGCAATTGTGATTGCCGAGGACTGTGTGACAATCTCAACATGAACAAAAGAGCCCCTAGTGCCCATATCGGATGTTAGATCTGGGAACAGCCTCCTGCACCAAGTTTGCAGACTCACATTTTGAAACTCCAATCTCAGCTGGTGTATGACTGGTAAGAGTTTGGGAATCCTGTTCCAGACACAGGCCTCAGAACAGGAGAACGAGTGGCTGGGAGTTCAGTCTTTAGTGTCAGAATCAGGTTCAATTCCAATTTCATCCTCTTATTAACTGAGTGATATAGGGTTAAACACTTTGAGAATCTGTTTTTATTGGTAAAATATTAATAATATGTATCTCATTGTGTTGTTGTAAAGATTGAAGAAGTCTGTAAGTATATAAATGCATACCTCTTAGCACAGTGCCTTGCACAAAATAAATTTTCAATAAAAGGACTCCCATTACAACAAAGCCAGTGGAGATTTGGCCTCTAGCTAATGCTCTGATGTAGGGAAACCTTTAAATGCCCTAGGCTTCTCTTTTAATTCACAGCAACTCTTGATCTCAAATCAAGGCAATTTTTGACTCTTTGATTTCTTGAGGGTAGCAGGGAATTTTTCTTCTTTCCTTTAGAACCATGGTCCCTTATACAACCAGCAGTATTTGAGAAGATAATGTGTCTGGGTAACAATTCACTGAAGCTTGAGCCCCATTCAATCAGTCATATCCCTAGTTTGGTACTTTGTGTAGTCCTGCACAGGAAAAAGAATCAGGTTTTCTTATGTTCTGTTGACACAGCACTGTCTCCATCTACCCATCTATCCAGGAAATCTTTTATTTTGGATGGCTTTTATGCAGGATAACCTCTCATGGTGCTTGTGCGTGCTTGATGTTACTGACTACACATGAAGTAACCTGTGAGACATCATCTCATAGAACTCATAATTTCTGAAGGAAGCATAGAAAGTGAGGTCCTAGGCAAGACTTCTAATTTATCCCTTATTGTTGAGGACAATTAAAATCTCTTTGCTTCATCTTACTGTGAAGGACACAAAAATTTCATATGAAAAACCAACAAATTAAACCCATTATTTTATACCTCTTGGGGGCCATTCCTGGATAGGTGGATAGAGAGATAGATGAATAGATGGGTGAACTGATAGGTTCTAGGTACTGTAATAAGTTCCACAGATACGGAGTCAATAGGATGTGCCCCTTCCTTCAAGGGGTGTACAGGCTAGTATCCAGGGGATGAGAGAGAGAAACAAATGAACGATTATATTCAGACAAATCTGGGACAATTGTGAGACCCAGCACCACCAGGGGGTTCAGGTATTCTTTTCTGGAACAGTGATGCTAAAAGTAAGATTTTCAGAAAAGGGACATTATGCCGCTCCCTAGATGGGAAAAAAAACCCCAAGCTATGGAACAACTAGCACAAGCGTGGAGATGTAGGACAACAAGAAGCAGGTGGAGACTTCAGGTGGTTTGAGGAGCATGAACATGGAATGATTGGGGGAGTCACAGATGACTACAGAGGCATGTAGTACCAACATTTTGGGGGATTTTATATATCAGTAAATGAAGTATCTCAACTTTACTCTAAAACTGTTCAGAATTTAGAATTCCAGACAACGTGACAGCGTCAGGCTGACATTTTAAATCAAAAGGAAAAAGGAGAAAGGAGTGGAGAATGAATTAGAGAGAAGCCAGGGAAACCAGGAATTCGGGCATAATGCAAGAAGAGCCTGGAGGTAGGTGATGGCGATGGGAGTGGAATAGAGATGGCGACAGAAAGGAAATAGAATCTGTAGGACTTGTAACTGATTGGTTTTGAGAGATGAGCTAGAGAGAGGGAGGGGTCTAGGCTGATTCTTAGGTTTCTGGCTTGGGTTTCAGGGGGAGTAAAGGGTGGCACCATACCTTAATGAAAAAAAAAATTAGGCTAAGCGTGACTTGCAGTAAATATGATTATCTTTGGTAATCAATTTCTATGCAGTAGCCCTAGGCATTTTAATATGAGTCTGGTGTTCAGTTGAGTGGTTTGGACTGGAGATTCGTATACCTAGGAGTCATTTTGGAGAAGGACTGTCACTCAGGAAGAGGGGATAAAGTGAGAAAATAAGGTCAGAGGTTGGAGCCCTAAGGCACCTGGAGATTTAAGAGGCAGTTAGAAGAAGGAATGTCTTCAAAGTTTGCTGAGAAGAGACCAGGAAGAAGACCATGGTAACCTGGTGTTACAGAAGTTAATGGAAAAGTTTCAGAAAATACATGATCAGACTCAAATAAGGTATGAACAGAAAAAAAAGTCAACTGGATTGAACATGAAGGTCATGGGAGCCATGCAGTGGTGGAAATGAAAGATGGAAAAGGGTTGAGAGCTATGGAAAGTGAAGACATTGAGACTCTTCGTTTAAGATAAAGAAGGGAGTTGAGATGGAAGACTGTGGAGAGATCCTGTTATCTTCCTTATTAACCAATTCATTGTTCAACAATCTTTCCTTATTAGGATGTTTTTTATGTCCAACTTATTACATTTTAAATAACGATGTTTACCTTAAAACACACACACACACACACACACACACACACACACACACACATACACACATAAAACATGCTTTCTATCAAAGCAAGGAAACAGGAAGAATGTAGTTCAAGGCAAATGTCATTTGAATGCCCACGTTAGGTGTCTGACATTTTATCAACATCTGCTCTAACAGTAAAACAGTGAGAGCCTAAAATCTCGGTGGAAAAGACTTACAAGGAAGCATAATCGTTTAGGCAACATCTGGCATGAGTTACTTTATTAATTTTCCTTTATTTACTAGTGTTTATTTGACAGCTGTGATAATTTTTTCCAGAACAGGAATCAGCAAAGTCACAAGTCTTTTCCCATCTGTGGTTCATTTTCCTCTTAGAAGAGATCCAAAGAGTTTAAAGGAAAGTTGCTTTATGTTCTGCTATATTTGCAATTCTTATTTTGTTTCAGGGGCCTCCAGGACCAGAAGGAAAGACAGGGAGTCAAGGCCGTTTGGGAAGCCAAGGAAATAAAGTAGGTCACTTTCTTTATACCCACCAAAGTTAAGTTTTTCTTCTCAAGGGAAATGCCTCTGGTTGTATTAACCACAGCCCTTTCAACACAAAGGCAAATATATCCCGTTGCCCCTACACCCTGGCTTGATTCTTAGAGAGCCCGCAACATTTAAGGACATGGGTGTGGACCAGGATGATGTCAGCGATTCCAGCTCCGCATAATCTCACCATGGGCTCCACCCAATCTGAGCTGAGGGGGGAAGGGAGACTGTGCTGGGGGCAGGCCTGCCTTTCTCTCCCCTCCCTCCCATTTTGTCTCCCTCCTCTCTTCCCTCCTTTCTCTTCCCCTTATTTCTTTCCTTCATTGATACAAACGTTTGCTGAACTCCTTTGAAGGCAAAGGCACTGGACTGGCATTCAGCTGGACCAGAAAGTCAGCTCCAGGAGAGCAGAGGTCTTTGTCTTGTTCAATGGTGCATCCCTAGTGCTTAGAACAGTAACTGGCAGATAAGAAGTACTTAATAAATATCTGTTTAATGAAAGAATTCCTGGGTTGTATAATGATAAATGTGGTATGGAATCAACCCCACAGAATTTTAGAGTATTTTCGGGACACTAATGTATGACATAAAAAGTCATCAAGAAGAAGGAACTGAAATGGAGGATTAAACATAGTATTAATAGAAGTATTTCTGGGCTGGGAAAAAAGGCATCATAGAGCATACAGCCTTCGAGTGGCCCTTAGAAGATAAAGACTAGCAAGCAGAGGGCATGTGGCATTTCAGATAGAAGGAACAGGGTGAAGGAGAGACCAGGGCTGGAAAATCCTGGGAACAGGTGGTTAGGAAATGAAAAGTGATCCTCTCTGGCGGGCACGTAAAGAACAATGAAAGTCTGTGGCGATTGACCTTATTAGGTGGCCAGTGCTATTTATGATTTTTGAATGGAGTGTATGAACACAGGCAGACCTTGGAAGATTTTAAATAGGCAACTCAGTGTAGAAATATTTTGACGGCTGAGATATTGGAAGCCAAGAGACTAGTTGATGTGTTCTCACAGTCTGCAAGACCAGCAGTGATTGGATGGCTTAACAGGGTGAGGAGGACAGGAGGGGCTCATGATGATTCTCTAGGACTCTTCCAGCAGGGAACTGAAGCAGAGGGAAAAGGTCTAGATGACTCATGAGCTTCCAGCATAAAAGATAACAACATCACAGAAGTGGGAAAGTTATCACATCTGGTGGCCAAGATGCTCCAAAGAATGTTTTCAAAATGTACCAGTTAAGAGGAGAAGAACAAAAAGGAGACAGGTTGCAAAAGACAATGTGCTGAGGAGGAAGAAATGGGTACAGGGCTTTAAATTACACTTTAGAGAAACTAGGCTTTGAAAGGGAGGAGGGGGACCTTAACTCCTACTGTGTTTCCTCAAAAATAAGACTGGGTCTTATATTAATTTTTGCTCCAACAATCTACATTTATTTATTTATTCATGTACAAAAATCTACATTTATTCAAACAGTCGTGTCTGGCTGACGAGCTTAACGGGGGCTTATGTTTGGGGTAGGGTTATATTACAAGCATCCTGAAAAATCATGCTAGGGCTTATTTTCTGGTTAGGTCTTATTTGGGGGGAAACAATAGTGCTGGCACGGTCTAGAACAGATTGGTATTTGGTTGTCTTCAATGATAGGAGAGCCCGTAGCATGTTTATGCACAGAAAGAAAAACAGAACAGAGGAGGTCGAAGATGAAAGAAAGAGTAGGTAATTAATGGAGAAATTTCTTGACCCGGAGAATGAGACTGAGGGCATAAGAAGAGGGGCTAGCTTTATAACGGAGAACTGTTAAGAAGGACTGAAATTTTGGAGGCCAGAAGTTGAGTGTTACTGAGGTAGTTGATTGCAGGATGAAGTGAGATACATGGATGACAAAGATAATCAACTCCAAAAGGAAGGGATTACTAGAGCACATGTAGCAACAATGGTCTGGAAAGGAAAGTTTGGAACAGAGTCAGTGCTGCCTGTTGCCTGGGAGAAAGCCGCAGGGGAAGTGGTGTCACTGTGAGGACCAAGTTTATCTTACAGTGAGGATGGTGAGTGTGTGTGTGTGTGTGTGTGTGTGTGTGTGTGTGTGTGTGTGATGGATGTCTAGAGAAGGTTTGCATGAAATGAAGGCATTCCATAGGGTGTGATAGAAAAGACCAACAGACAGGAATGGAGGGATCCTAGAGCTGGATATGTAGGTGAGAGTGTGGAAGGAGATAGATATGAGCAGAGTAGTTGTGCTGAAAAAGATCATTATTAATAAGGAGGATTTTTAAAGAGGAACGGGCAAGAACTTGGGAGGTAAGTGCCCTCAAAGAAAACCCAAACTCTTTGATCAGCCCCAAGATGGACTGAGCTCTCCAGACTCGTTATTAACTAAGATGAGCCCCAAACACTTATTACCATCAGCTCAAGTTCCCAGGGAGGCAAGCAACTCAGCAATTCATCCTGAGCTCAACAGCCTGACTGTACGAAAAACAAAAGTTTGACCCTCGTCAAGCCATACAGCTCCCCTTCTTTCCCTACCGTAAAGCAGTTGTTCTCAAATTTCAGTGCGCATAAGAATCAGCTGAGAGGCTTATTTAAAAAGGCATGTTCTTGGACTCCACTACCAGAGACTGATACCAGTAGGGTCCAGGGATTTCTTTTTGCATGTGGACCCCAGGTAATCATGAGGCAGGTGGCCTCCAAAACACACTTTGAGAGCCACTGCCCAGAAAGAAAGGCATCAGGACAGGTGATCTGCTCCCCTTTCATAGAACCCCCTTCCGTTTCACCCCCGAGTTCAGTGCCAGTGGACATTTGTCCATTTGCACTTCTCACACTTACTGTGTTGCCTTTCTATCCTTAAAAAATGTGTTAACCACTTCCACTCCTTGATGTGGATGACGCCTGCCTCCACACTGTTTCTTCTAAAGAGCGTATGAAAGGGCAAAGGGGGATAACTAGACCATAGATAAACTTGACCAACACTACCTCAGCCAGATGATCAAAGTTACCATCAGTAGTGATAGCCCTGTTGATAGTATATACTCTTGATATGATGTGATGAGAATAACACTTCAACCCTGTGGTCTTTATAACCAAAACCCATAAAATCCAACCTAATCATGAGAAAAATATCAGACAAACCCCAACTGTTGGACATTCTACAAAATGCCTGACCCAGATTCCTCCAAATTGTCAAGGTCATCAAAAACAAGGAAAATTGGATACACTGACAGTCTAGAGGAGCCTAAGGAGACATGACAGGTGGTACCCTGAAACAGAAAAAGGATGTTAGGAAAAAAACTAAAGAAACCTGAATCAAGTATGGGCTTTAGTTAATGATAATGAATCAGTATTCATTTATTGTGACAAAATGTGCCCTACTAATGTAACTAATGTAATAGTAACAATAGGCGAAATGAGATGTGAAGCCTATAGGAACTCTCTGTTCTCTTTTATTAACATTTCTGCAAATCTAAAACTTTGAAAGTTTTTAAGGAGTTAGCCTTCTTTCACAAACCTGTGCCAGCTTTCCCAAGCAGCTGGACTTTTCCTCAACATAATACTGAGATGGATTTAAAGTTTCCATTAGATGTTCTACTAGTCAGAAGTCAGAAACTATTGCCAGGGATGCTGTGCTATCTTGATTGACACTTCAAATCTTAAAGCTCAATTAAAAGGTCTGTTGTCTTTGCAGCAGCCAGATGATTTGCATGGATCGTCATGGAACACAGTTTTGTTAATTTCCTTAAACAGTACCAAGCTTCCTCTTTGACTCACAGTGAGACATTTCCAAGGGTGCGGTTCATGGTGCTGAGTTGCTAAGATGGCAGCTTGCACTAAACAATACATCAGACTTGCTGAGCTTTCATCTCTCAATAGAGGAGACCTCAGTAGCCAGCAACAGCATTTCTTGCATCGCTTGCACAATTCCTAGTCCTGGCCACAAGTCCATCATCGCTGTTCGATGATACACATGGATTCAGTTAAAAAGTGTTGTCTCCATGCCATCGTTTCTAATTTCCTTTGCAAAAACAACCTAATAAGGACACATTTCACTGTTCTGTTTAACAGGGAGAGCCTGGAGATCTGGGAGAAAAAGGAGCTATGGGCCTTCCTGGTCCTCGAGGCTTGCCGGTTTGTGTTTTATCACTACTTTTTATCCTTGGCATCTTTTAGTTCCATGAGTGTCAGGTGTGGTTTTCTGAAGACAGTATTAAAGATACCATTCCAACCTAGCCTTACAGCTTTCTAGAAATGGAGATATTATCCTCGCCTTGGAGTTGCTCCTTAGCCAGCTTTTCCAAGGTGGCAACTTCCCGGGTACCAAACCTCATGGCCAGGGTGCTCTTGAGCCAAATGACGAAATGGCAACACTTGTCTTTAGCATCCCCATAACTTTTCTTCCGTTCTGTCCTCCCATCAGAACCCATTCATCAGAAACTCACCCTCGCCTTCCCCCAGTGCTCAGGACTTCTCACTAAGGCCTTCTACAAGTGTCTGTCAGCAGCAATGCCCAGACAGTTTAGGAGGCCTTGTTTTTATCTGGCAACTGAAAATGCATTCAAGCTGAGATGTTCAAATAGAAATGTTATCCCGAAGAGAGAACGCCACTACCACCTTCTATTGAGATCACTGTATGCAGAGTTTTCTCATTTTATCCTCATAACAGCACCACGAGTAGGTGTGATTTTTAATATAACTATTCCCACTTTATGGATAGAATAGGTGAGGCCAAGGGACAGTGCATTGTCTGTATATGTATGGAGAGTTGCCTTTAGTGCCACTGTCACCAAATGTCAGTGGCCTGCCCCAGAGGGAGAATCTTGCTTCCTAATTTCTCCTAATCCAACCAAAAAGCTGGCTGCTTTTTCTCTGGTGAGTTCTCTGGTGAGTTAGCCTGCCTCTGTCTGTAGCCTGGGGTGTTTGTAATTAATTGCTTTTTTTTTTTTTTTTACAGGGTGATGATGGCAACCCAGGTTATGGGAACATCGGAAGTAAAGGAGCAAACGTAAGATTTTTCAACTGCAAGGTGGACATTTCCCATTTATTTTTGTTGCTTGGTTTTTGTTTGCCCCGTTTAAGAGAAAAAAAGAAAGCAGTGAACAAGGTAGTAGTTTGATCCATTTATAGATAGATTTTGATAATTTATTTGCAGATATCCTGTGAGGAATATGGTATAATAAAAAACAATTTGATGGTTTAAGGTACAGACAACAACTGAAACTTGAAAATGAATTTTCTGGTCTTTGCAGAGTTGTGCAGTCAGGGTCTTATTTGTTCCAGCCTGAGCAGTGCACTGAATCTTAGCAGCTCTGGGCTCCAGTACACCTCGGAAGGCATTCAAAAATGTGTCCTCCTTTTATTATGTTTACTTTAGCCATTAGTGAGAGGCTTTACAGGGCCTTTCTAAAGTCACTGGGCCAAGCAGTAACTTAAAAATAAAATCTTTTAACCGTACCAGAATGATAAGTTTATAATGTTATTGAATATTTAAGTGTCTGGAAGTAAGATAAGTTTTTCAAAACCAGTAATTTATATATCTTTATAATAACCACTTATAAATCATAATAACAACAGCCACAAAAATAAAATCCTTTATGCAAAATGTTTGAAACCTATGACAAAGAATTACTGAGCTATAAAAGAAAAGCTTCAATAAATAGACACCAAGTTCATGTTGAAAACCCTAAAACATTATAAAGGATCAGTGTAATTTCAAGTGAAATACCAGTGGGAATGATGCCAGAGGCTGTCTGGAACAATAAACCAAAAGAAAGCTAAAATTTCTTTGGAAAAAAAAATACTGAATAACATATTTCCAGTGAAATATTTTTTACAATAGAGAATAATTGAAAATAACAATAATATCTCATAAAAAGGGAAAATGTTAAGTAGTCTATAACATTGAAATATTAGCCACTCTTTAAAATTGAGCATCAATATTTTTCAGTTATTAAAATCAATGCAAATCTCTCAATTAAAGTACTCTATTTTATTTTTTAAAATGACTATAGTTTATAATTATGTAAAGAAATTGTTGTGTTATAATGTCAAGTAAAAAAAATAAGAATATAATCAGAAAAAAAAAACACATCCCAATTGTGTTAAAATACATTTTAAGAAGCTGAAAGAAAACAATGACCAAGTATTTATAATGGCTCGTTTTGAGTAATGAGATTTGGGTGACTTCTTTGTTCTTTTTTTATGTATGTTTGAGGAGCTATTACTCTTAATAATTAGAACATCAACTTTATTTTAAATAAAATATTTTTTTCATCAAATGGGGATTATCAAACCTCTTAAACTATAGTCTGTGGCCAGATAAGGTAAGCATAGGACAAGAAAATGAATGATCAAGTTTAGACTCTAGACTTCCCGATTTTCTCCATTGAAATTCATTTGAAGAAGACTGTTTCAGAGACTCTTGGCCAAATAACCAGCTTCCCTGTGATATGCCTACAGTAGAAGGAGAGCTGGTTTGTAATTCCTCAGATGTGTACATCTATCAACTTACCTTAGGTTGCTATGATATTTGGGTGAAACCAGTAAATACTTTAATTTAGAAATTAGTTTCTCAGAAAGTGCTGTACAGTTTCATTTTTTAATTGTTTTGGTCTTCCTTGGTTTAGAGACACTAAAACTAAGGCAGAAGATAAAATTAAAGTCAATATAAACCTACCTTGGTGCATATAGTAATTTTCCCTGCTGTCAATTACAGGGACAAGAAGGATTCCCTGGAGAAAGTGGACCTAAGGTACTGTGTGCTTCATACTAACTAGAGGTCAATCAGAAACACTCCTGGGGTTAGGAAATGTACCGTAGGACAATAGAAAGTTAGTTAATTATAAGCGAATGAAAAGAAACCTTTATGGGGGAAAGGAGGGAAGACAGAAGAAGCAGGGTCTTTTTAGATAAAAAATTCAATTCACAGTAAAGGAAGAAATCATCCTTATTTATTTTTTTCTGTACATGTACTCCGTCCTCTCTATCATACATGTTTTCCTCTTTGTTCAAAGGAAAGTGAAATGTAAGGAAAGCCAAAATGACCCGATCTCACCTGGCCCAGTTTTCTCAAGGTGTTTATAAATCACCTTGAGAAAATATTAGCCATGCTGACCTCTATCGTAAGGCTTTCACTTTTGCTAGAAACACTGACAGATCTCAGTAAATGCCAGGTCCTGTGATAGGGCTGGGACAAAATAAAGGGCACAGTTTATGTCTCCAAAGAGGGTGTGTGCTGACTGGACAGACAGACGTAAAACAATGCTATGTGGAGAGCTATAAAAATGTGGGCTGGGGGCCGGCCGAGTGGCTCAGTTGGTTAAGAGCTTGCTCAAGAGTGCGAGCTCTGAGCAACAGCGGTTCAAGTCCTGGCCTGAGCTGAGCTGCCAACAGGGGGCAGGATGGCTCAGCTAAAAAAATAAAAAAGTAAAAAATGTGGGCTGGGGGAGCGCCTCAAAGAAGACCATTAAAGATAAAAATGTATATGAAAATGTCTCCGTGTTGTAATCAGTTTCAAAACACTTCGAGGTATAGGTCTTTGATTTTCATAACCATTTTATTTTGTTTTTCTGAACTTAATTTAGGGTGAAATTGGGGACCCTGGTGATCCAGGAGAAACTGGACCCAAGGGAGCCAGAGGCCAGACGGTAAGTTTCTTAGATTTCAATGCCTTACAACCTCTGCTACTTTGGGAAGTCCTTTTTCATGCTTTTCCAATCATATGAATTGTCACTTTTTCCCAAAGACATAAAATGTGTGTGTTTTTGAAGGCACACTTGGGGAAGGGAAAGATATATTGCTCATCCTTCAAAGCCAGCAGAAGGCAATGAACTCTTTGCTTTTAGTGAACAAGTTCACCTGCTCTGGCTGCCAAGGTACCATTCTTGAACACTGGAAATGAGGTTTTTAAAGGACTCCTTGTGGTCCAAACCAGGTTTGTGCTGCCAAAATATAGTCAGTTTAATCGAATGTCCCTGGCAGATTTACTGCAGCCTAATGTACACTGGCATCTTCACTATGATGGTTTTGTGAAACTATTTTAATGAGGTGTATACCTGAAAGGCTCTCTCTTTATACAGCAAGTTTCCATTTATTCTGTAATTGAATGTATCTTTATTATTCCATGGAGGGGTTGTATATTGCCTAATGCTGAGGATCAAACAGGAGTCTCCGGTAATATCTCATAGGTATCAGCATTTGGGGGTTCCAGTGGCTTACGAATAGATTTTTGCATTTGCTATATCTTAGACTGTGTATGAGATGGCTGTTTTATAAAAGAGACAGGCTTATGATCCTTGTTTCTCGATAACGTTGTCTCTTTTTTGGGGGAAAACACTGACCAGGTAAACTCATATTCCCACCATGTCAATTAACAGAAAAGAAAAATACAAAGTCTGATCAAACTTGAGAGTTGAGGTGATTTTCCAGTTGTGTCATCCTAGTTAATTTTATTCTGATCTGGGTGGTGGCTGTTGTTTTAACAAAGTATAACAAGACCTGTAGAGGTTATTTATCAAGAAACTGCCCTTTTCCTGCATCCTGCTTCTCCCAAGAGGGACTGCTGCCCAGCTATAATTCTTTCCCTCAGACACGGTTTTGGATGACTGTCCTTTAACATTATGTTCTTTTTTAAAAAAAGATGAAGACTGATATAACTGGAAAGATAATTGGGATAGACTTTCAAATTCATCTACATGTTGTCTGCCTTGAAGTATCTCAGGATCTTTTCCCTAGGCTTGTTATGAAGTCATTTACCCTTGAACCTTGAAAGTCTGCTAACAAGTTCAGCTGTTTGTTGGATTCACTTTCCCCCAATGGCACATTAATCATTTAAAAAAAACACACAAAAAAACCCCAGTAAGCTAGTAGGTAATATATAAACTTTTTCTCTTGGCCTTTAATTACTTGAATTTCTTTTTTTCCCCCCACTTTGGACAATGTATTACTGTTTGTAACTTGTTTATTTCATCTGCCAAGCTACGTGAGTATTGCTGAATTTGAAGTTTAGACACTGAAAACTTCCAGGTTTTCTCTCTCAAAGAACTGATGTTTCTATTGGAAGGTTTGGGTAAAGCTTTGCCTTAACTGTTGAGTGCCTCTTTAGTTGTCTTGGAATGATTACATTCCTAGTTTAAGTTTTCTAAATCTTCACCTTGGTTTTTTTCCCTTAACTGAAGCATTTTTTCAAATTTGCCATGATGGGTAATCTGTTTTATTTTGTGCATAATGTATATTTGTATGTATTTATATTTTTAAATTAACTTTACATAGGCATATACTTCAAGGCAGCATTTCTCAAACCCGGCACTATTGACACTTTGGGCTGGATAAGTCTGCTGTGAGGGGCTGTCCTGTGCATTGTAGTGTGTTAGCAGCATCCTTCACCTCACCTCTACCCACTAGATGCCAACAATAATCACCGCTGTCTCCCTCTCCTTTACAATAGCCAAAAATGTCTCCAGAGATTGTCAAATGTCAGATGGATTGCCACTTTTTACTTAAAAATCTTGTGAAGTGATTTGATTCTTTCAACCAGTGGTTCTCAAATGGGGAGAGTTGTGTGCCCCGTCCCCAGCATACTGGGAATATCATTGGGCTATCCAAAGGATATCAGTAATTATTTGCTGGTCCATAGGCAATCTTTTATAAATTAAGATGATTTTAGACAATTTCATTTTTTATTCCTATAAAGGTTATAAATCCTGTGGCATTTTGAATGAACAAAGGACCATAGTCCTAATTTTTAAACTAGTTTAGCTTTCCTTATGATAAATTACATTATTGAATGAACATGGAAAAGTTCCTGGGATACAGTGTCAAAAAATATTGTTTTTATGACTGCTGCTCTTCTCCAGTTTCATTATAAATATTTTCAGGCAACTGTTAAATGCTTTCTTGTTTTTTTAAGGCTTTTTATGTCTAATTTTTTGTTTTTCTGTTTTTTTGTTCATTTGCTTTTCACTTTAGTCACTTATTAAATTTAGATAAATCTAGATAAAAATTCATTAAGATAAAAATTTCTACCTTGATCCATCTATTCCAGTTCTAGCATTCTTCCTCAAGGAAATAATCAAAATTGCATATATAACTTCATAGTGGCATTGCTTATTACAACAGCAAACTTAAATGCCAACAGTAAGGGACTGATTAAATAAGTTATGGTATATCCAGGTAATAGAATACTATGCAGCCAAGAAAAATGATTTTTGCAGAAAAATATTTAGTAACATGAAAATGTCCAAGGGCCGGCCGAGTGGCTCAGTTGGTTGAGAGCTCGCTCAAGAGTTTGAGCTCTGAGGGGCCAGCCAAGTGGCTCAGTTGGTTAAGAGCTTGCTCAAGAGTGTGAGCTCTGAGCAACAGTGGTTCGATGCCCGGCCCGAACTACCACTGAGCTGCCAACAGGTAGCAGGATGGCTCAGCTTAGAAAACAAAAACAAAACAAAAACAAACAGAAAAAGAGTTTGAGCTCTGAGTAATAGCGGTTCGGAACCCAGCTCAAGCTGAGCAGCTGCTGAGCTGCCAACAGGTGGCAGGATGGCTCAGCTTAAAAAAAAAAAAAAAAAAGTCCAGACATATATATTTAGTTTAAAAAGCAACAGGGAAAAAAAGTATAAAATTATATTAAGAAAAAACTATTTAGATTAATACCAAAATAATAAATAAAAGACTAGAAGAAAAGATACCAAAATATTAGCAATCATTATTTTGGGGAAGAAGAGATTGCTGAGGGGTTTTTTTCCTTCTGTGTGCTTTTTGGAAATCTCTGTTTTTTAAAAGGAAAGTATATTGGCTTTAAAAATTTAAAACCCCCAAATCCCCAAACACACATATATGTATAAATATAATTTTAAAGTAAATAAATTCTGCTTTTAGGTATCCGTTGGGCTTCCAGGAGAACCTGGATCCCCAGGGGAGCTGGGACCTCCTGGACACAAGGTGAGTTGAAAGTCATAAGTCACACCAGATTCTTTTCCAAAGAAAAAGTCAGCGCATGGTGTCTTCATTGTCCAAATGTGCATGCTTTCCGTCTTTGCAACTCGGCAACTATTTCCCATCTTTATGTGCTCAGAAAGACGAAGGAAAACAATGCTAATTAAATATCAGTTGCCATCTCTTGGGAGGTAAGGGGACTTGAGAGAGGAAATAAATAGCCTGAGACTAACATGAGATTTCGCAGTTATCAGTAGAATTTATTTATCTGCCCAACCCTTGCCTGCTTCATACATTCACTGAATGATCAGCGAATGAAGGAAAGTGAGATGAAATTAATAAATAATGAATAAATGATCAAAGTTGCATTCACATGGAACTTATTTTCTTCAGGAATTTGAGTGGGCTCAATTACAGTTTTCCTTGGGTGTCTCCCTTAGCCAGACACTTCCTGTGCCAAAGATAGGATTGCACACATGAAATTAAAACCAATTCCACTTTGATTTTCTATTTCCAATCCATATATATATATATATATGTATAATTCATTTAAGGAAGACAATTGGGATTACCTTTCCAGATGTTCACGTTGAGTCTGGTCCATTTGTTGTCCAACCGGTGATGGGAACAGATGAAGGTTTAGCTCAGCTACTGCTCAGTGGCCAAGGCAAAACACTGGGTTGAGACACCCCTGCCTTGACGAGGGGCAGCCACAATGAATGGTTCATCCCTATCTAGTTCTAAGCCATAGCTGTCCATGCCAGTGTCAAGTTGTCAGCTCCATCCTTAGATTCTGTACAACCCTTGTCATCTAGATATGGGGCTGCTGGAGGAAAGTGACCTTTGGAGGTTCGTGTTCATTAAGCTATAGGTTATTCCCCCTTAGAATGTTATTGTTAATTAGGTGATGGATATCTACATGTATTCTTTTTTTCCCCCTCTACCTTAATAAAAATAAAAACTTCAAAAAGTTATCATTTTCTTAGAGTAGTGTTGGTGCATATTCTGGCTACTGATGTGTGTGTCTAGAAGGTGAAACCACAGTTTCTTTTTGTCTCCCTAGGGTGTGAAAGGGGCCAGCGGACAGGCTTCATTTTCTGTATGTATTTCCTGACTCCAGCAGTGTTCTGAGCACGCCATTCAACGTATTGATTTTTTAAACTTCGGGACCTGGCAGTCTGTTTGCTAATTCTTTTGTTTTATTTTGAACTGTAGATATGTGAGCTCATTCAGTATGTGCGGGACCACAGTCGTAAGTACCCTGCTTCAAATGATCACCCATGTTGTCAGCATTTATAAAAGAAAAGCAGGAATTTCTACACTCACAATTGAGACAATTTCCCAGCCAATTTTTAAAATTTTTTCTTGGTTTGTTTGTTTTTTTAATCCTGCCACCTGTTGGCAGCTCAGCAACAGCTCAGCTCGGGTGCAGCTCACTGGTCCATGCGGGAATCGAACAGGCAACCCTGTTGCCAAGAGCTCGTGCTCTTGAGCAAGCTCTTAACCAACTGAGCCACTCGACTGACCACCCCCGCCCCAGCCAATTTTTTTTAAATCAGAGATATCACTGCACATATTTTTAGTCAGCATAGACTGGTGACTATTAACTAACTCCCTCTCTGGCTGGCAGCATGTCTACTGGAACCTGTTCCAAACACTATGTAATAATATAGCTGGTGTTTTGTTTTTTTGTTTGTTTGTTTTTTTTTTTTAGCTGAGCCATCCTGCTACCTATTGGCAGCTCAGCGGCTGCTCAGCTCGGGCTGGACTCGAACTGCTGTTGCTCAGAGCTCAAACTCTTGAGCGAGCTCTTAACCAACTGAGCCACTCGGCTGGCCCTAGCTGGTGTTTTTAATCTAGGGAAATTAAGAGATGAGGTCAGAACTCTCCTGAAAGTGAAATCCATCAGTGGGCAATCACAGTAAACTCTTTAAAATGATGCTTAACACCTGACCCTAACTGACAGGATTGAATTCACCTGGTGTGAAAGCTCTAGCTGTGATAATAGGGTGTCCTGGTGGGTGGGAGCCCTGATTTTGGTTTATAGATTATTACTCCTTTCCTGGAAAGTTTTGCTTGACTACTTTTAGTTGAACTGATGGGTTTTGCTTGTACAATTACTTATTGTGCCAATATGTTTTCCTCTCAAAATTTTAGAAGCAAAAAGACATTTTGATTTGGCAAATGTTCTTTTGAATTTGCTTTAGGACCTTAGAATAGCCTCCTCTATCAAAATAGCCATACAAGATGAGGAGAGGATCACCTAGTTAATATTTATCTACTAATGCATAATGACTTCTCAGATAAACATCATGACTGAAAGGAAGAGTCAAAAGTTCCCTCAAGGCATTTTGGGGAAGAAAAATAGACAAATTTGATCCCATTTCTGTAGTGAGCATTGGTCTCAAAAGACACAGACTTTTAAAAGCTTTGAATGCAGGGTCAATCTTAACTCTGCCTTTATAACAGAATGGAACCATCCCTGATGGGAATCAAAATACAGAGGGTGCCAACAACATGTATACACATTTTAAGAAAGGAAAACTGTATTAAAATTGTAACATTCAATATATACCAATAACAAAAGATGAATACAAGTCACATTTGTCTTCTACAATTACAAGAGGTGCTCAAAGTGGCTACCATCAGCGTCCAGACACTTCTGATTACGGCAAACTACTGCTTGAGCAACGTTGACCAAAGTGTCCACTTGTGTACATCTTTTTTGGTGCCTTTGGTATACACATTGGGTCATGAAGACAGGCTGCTTTGGGGCTGAATTAGTTCTGTAGGCTTTCTGTCATGGGAGCCATGGGAACTATAATGACTCAAGTGTAGATCCAAGTGTGACAAGGCCTGATCTTTTAAAACTTGAGGGGCACAATACAAAATTACAAATCCAAAAGTAAGGTACAAAATTATTTCAAAAGCAAGCATTGTTTAGAACAAGAAAGGAAATCATAACCAATGACTTCTGCATAGTATAAAAGCACACACATATTCATGTGAACACATGGCTAGGAACCTTCCCGAGCCTTGCAAGCGGCCCCTACAGCTGAGAGGTCGAAAGCCGTGCTGCCCAGAACTTTCTGCAATGATGGAAGTGTTCCAGTGCAGTGTCCGATATGGCAGCCACTATCCACGTGTGACTTTGAGTACTTGAAATGTGGTTACTGTAACTGAGAAGCTGAATTTTTTATTTCATTTCATTTTAATTAAAATTTATAGTCACATGTGGCTAATGGCTTCCTTATTGGGCAGGGTAAAGCTTAAGCTTCATTTGCTTCAGAGTAAAGCTCTCTCTGATGTTTTTATACACACACACACACACACACACACACACACACACACACACACATATGTGAAATCAATAGCTGGAGATATCTTCCTGGGGAAAATTTAGAGTAAAGAGAGGTTAGAAAGTTTTAACTTTCCTAATTCAGTGGACCTCTCTGCCGTGTAATGTTCCCTCCCAGGCAAAAGTTCTTTCCCTCTGACAGCTGGCTGCAGGCTGCTGGTGTATTGTCCCACTTCATCGCCATTCCAATTCCCTATGGAAGGAGCAGTGTTTGTACCAAGATGGGGGATCCGTCTGCTTTTCCTCCAAACCCTATCTGTTGCTTTGATTTTTGAGTCATCTACAAAAAGCACACAGTACAGAATCTCAGCTGCCAATATTTTCCTACACAGCACAGAATTCTGTTCTCTTACCTAATAATAACCCAATATCCTTTGTTTTTCCTCCCCAGCTTGCGGACATGGTGAGTAATCTTTATTTATAGCATATTCTAATCAAGCTCTGAAATGTCATACACCTGGAAAGATGAGTTAGACTAATGTGTTGCCTGCCAAATGATATAAATTTTACCTGGGCTGTCTTTGCCACCTTATACTGGTAGCACAGACCTGCCTCTAACAAATCACTCAGTTTTAGCTGAGTCTTACAGCTATTTCTCAACCAATTGGTTTGATTTTTTAAATTATTAATATCTTAATGACTAACATTACCATTTATCTTACTGTTAGGTTTTGGTAATACTATCCCTTCCTTCATTTTATCTCTCTCTCTCTCTTTCTCATATTGTCTCTGTAGTTTAGTGGTTAGGAATTAATGTGCAGAGGGGAAAACGTGAAAAATAAAAGTAGGGATGATAAGATAGCAAGTAGGATGAATGTGCCGCTCAGCTCATGTTAAAATCCATGGAGCTCATGCCTGATTGTAATTACCAAATTGACTGAATATCTTTCAGTGATGGTTTTTAAGTCTTACAAATGCCTATTACATGATATTATTCTATAAACCCACCATCTCCCTCTTACACCTTTATACCCTTATACCTTTTGCGTAAACCCACCAATCCATGCCCTCTGAATGCTTGTTCACTCATTCAACAAATATTTATCGAAAGCCTATTATGTGTTCGTCTTCCCCAGGCACTAGGGACACAGGGCTGAATAAGATGAACATGGTTCCTTCTTCAGAAGCTTCCATTCTAGCAAGGGATCCAGAGAATATAATAAATGAGAGAATTACAGAATCCTGTAGTTGCTGTGAAAGAGGGAGAGAACAGAATTGTGTTAGGGGAGGGGAGAAATGTGTGTGCATGGAGGGCTCCTCTTTGAGGCAGTGACTTTGAGGTTTAGACTGAAGAATAAAAAGAAGCCAGCTTGGCAAGAGCCAAGCAGAAAGAAGTGCTAATGCAAAGGCCATGAGGCAAGACAGACCTAGGCATTGCCTAGCACCTGGCAGGGAGCCCTGTAAGAGTATGACTGAGAGTGAGAGAGGAGGAAGTTAGCATGTGAGAAAACGGAGAAGTAAGCAGGGACCAGATCAAAGTGGGCTTTGCAGGTCATAATAAGGCAGCTGGTTTTTGAATTGTAATGGGAGAGTATTAAAGAGTTTATTGGGAGTATGAAGGAAGGAGCATGAGCTGATGAACCATTTTTTGACACTAACTTGGGCCACTATGGGAGAGTGGATTGTAGGAAGGATAAGTGTAAAAGCCAGAGGACTAGCAAGAGGTTGTTGTGGTATTTCAAGCAAAGATGATAGTAGCCTGGGCGAGAGCTACCATTGCTGTGTATCAGTTGCATGGCAGTGGTTTGGTTTGTCTCCTTCTGTCCTCATCGTCACCTGTTCTGTGCCGAGTAGCAACCCTCGGTATACAGTTTGTGGCCACAGAGCCATGTTAGGTCTTGGTGTGGCGATCCGTGCCATGAGGAGGGCCTCCTAGGTGCCACCACAATCCAGCCTAACGTTCTTCAGAATCCACGGGTTCCTGGCAGCTTGCTGGAGCTCAGAGAATGTATTTGGCAAGTTGAATTGGCCCTTTGGTGTTTTTCCTGAAAACTTGAATTTTTTAATATCATCAGCCAGCGCCGTGCATCGTTTCCCCCTTTATCTCTAAATGACACCTGAAGCTGCACTGTTGTTGCTGTTGTTGTTCCCATATGCTGGCGGAACCACTTTTATGTTTGGTCATAATTCCACTCACTTTTCACTGTAAAATTGATTTGACCTCATAGATAGATAGATAGATAGATAGATAGATAGATAGATAGATGGCACACTGAAACTCAGAGGCTAACAAATTCTGTCTCCATTAAGATGCACAGTTTAATTTGGGGCTGAACGTTTTCTCTTACTGGTCCTTTTGCCTGTGAAGGTCATGGAGTCCAGAACCAGGAGGAGATAATAAACAATCACAGGAAATAGAGTCCCTCCTAGGCCAGCCTGTGCGAGCCCTAACAGGTCTGAGTTCCTGAGCGCCCTCTGAAGAGCTGGCAGGCCTCCTCCTGCATTTATTGTCTCTGAATCTGACCTGCTGGCATCCGAAGGACAGGAGACACGCCCCTACCTCACCAAGAGAAGCACATCATTGAGATTTTCTTTTACCAACCTACATCTCAACACCAGGCATCTCCCCCATTATTAAAGTTTTCTTCTTCTTCCTGAACCTATTGCAAAGAACTGTCCTTTGTTTGATTCTTTTTTTACTCAGTCAATATTTATTGGATCCCTGATATATGGCAGGAACTAATAATTTGACATATCAAGAGAAAGACAGTCCCCCATCTCCACACTTCTAAATTAGTGGGAGAGGCAAGCATTAATCAGATAATCAGATGAATAGAAATTGCCAACTGTGATAAGTGCAGGGTACTGGGATTAGAATGTATGAACTGGCATGAATGAATAAATCTGAAATTAACACTTATATTCGAGTTTAACAATCATACTTCAAAGTTTCTCTAAGCAATAATGCATTTATTGGTTAAAATTGCATTTTTAACTGTGAAAAAATTATTAAAGTTTTTCTTATTCTTTTAAGTGACATAGCACTCACAGTGAAAAAGTCTCTAATACTACTTACAAAAGTAATAGCTAATCTTAATTAAGCACCTACTATGTGCCAGGCACTGTTATCCAATGTGCTTTATCCATGTTGACTTATTTAATCCTCAACACAGGGCTATGCAGTGGGTAATATTAGGATTGACGTTTTACAGATGAGCAAACTGAGGCATAGAGAGGATAAGTCACGTGAACAAGGTCACATGGCTAGGAAGTCGTTGGGTCAGGGTTCTAAACACTTCCCTGTAATGCCGCCTGTCTTTACATTTAATGGTCTATATAGTGTATGTCAGTTCTCATCCAGTCTTTCTGAAATTATCAACAAAGCTTTCACACCCATTCCTTTTTAACCCCCATTACATTTCCTCATTAAGTAATATAAATTTATACACACACACACACACACACACACACACACACACACACATTTTAGTTTATTTAACTGAGTAAAGTTCCAGCAACAAACATGATACCATTGATCCAATCTCTATAGGTAAAAGGAAGGGCATATCCATGAGCTCTTTATTATTAAGAAATTCGGTAATTAAATTACAAGTTTCATTACAACTCAATTTGAGTTATAGACCTTTCCTTGTGCTTTAAGGGAGCAAATTTAGTTTTTAGAATAGCATTTTTAAGTATTCAAGATTTAAATATTTACTATTTCAAATGCTTATTTTAATATTCAGAGAATTCCTACTTAAATGCCACATGATCAGGAGCATATTCTTGGCTTTTAGGAAAACCTGAATGTCCCGTGTATCCAACCGAGCTGGTATTTGCCATCGACCAGTCCCAGGGTGTGACGGAGCAGGAATTTGAGCAGATGAAGAAGATGATGTCTTCCCTCGTGAGCAGCATCCGAGTCCGGGAGAACAGCTGCCCGGTGGGAGCGCGCATTGCCATCCTCTCCTATAACTCCCATGCCAGGCACCTCATCCGCTTCTCAGACGCCTACAAGAAGAAACGGCTCCTCAAGGAAATCGAAGCTATTCCTTACGAGAGATCCTCAGACAGCAGGGAGATTGGCAAAGCCATGAGATTTATTTCCAGGAATGTCTTCAAGCGAACTCTCCCAGGGGCTCACACAAGAAGAATTGCCACATTTTTCAGCAGCGGTCAATCTGCGGATGCCCAGTCCATCACCACTGCCACCATGGAATTCAGCGCCCTGGACATCACTCCCGTGGTGATCGCTTTCAGCAACGTGCCCTCCATCAATCGTGCGTTTACGGTAAGAGGGTTAAGGCTTTCACAGAACTTTTTGGGGGATGTTGGGGAGGAGCTAAATTCAGAAGCCTCTATAAGAAAGTACAGCATTATACTATTTATTACTGCATACCAGGTAAGACCTTTATAGGCGTTGTCCTGCTTGATGCTAACAAGTACTACATATGAGATAGGTATAACTGTTATTCCCATTGTATCGATGAGAACACTAAGCCTGAAGATTTAACCTGTATGCCCAGGGTCACACAACTAAGTGGCAATGTCAGGACTTGAACCCAGGTTTGCTATTCTAGTGCTTCCGCAAGGGACTCTCTGAGTTGCCTCTGAGTATAAATACACTAAATCAGGAAAGCCAATAAACATTCCTAGATGTCACTTCTATGGCCAGAGCAGTAATCATTGCTCTACAATAAAAGCCACTTGACTGATTTTATGACTTCACCAATCAAGTAACTATTTTATAAAGGAAAAGCCATTCCAGTTAGAGTTTCGTAGATTAAGGATTAAAATCTTACTGTGCAGCATTTCTAAATAAACCACCTGGGATCAAGACAACTTTTTTTGAATCGAGGTATAATTGACATATAACATTATATTAGTCTCAGGTGTACAACACAATGATTCAATATTTGTATATATTGTGAGATGATCACCCCAATAAGTCTAGTTAACATCTGTCACTTGACATAGTGAAAAAATTTTTTTTCTTGTGATGAGAACTTTTTTTTTTAAGATTTTTTTTTTTAAATTGGGGAATTGGGGGGATGGGAACAGCGCTGGGGAATTGGGGGAAGGGGAACAGACAA